TCCTGTTCAACCCAGCTATTCCTCCTTCTGGACCTAGATATTCCTCTTGGTATCTTCCCAAAAGAAATAAAAGCATCATACCATGGTGCTAAGTGCACAACCATGTTTATAATGGCATAGTTGGTAGTAGCTAGATCTTGGAAATAGCCCAAATACTCATCAACCGATGAATGGATAAAGATATGGCTATTTTATACAGTTTATTTGTTTCTGCCATAATGAAGGGTAAGCTTGGGATATTTCCAGCCGAATGGTTGCACCCTGAGACCATACTCTTAAGTGAAAATAATCAGGCACACGTGTCTAAATATTGCATTTGTTTCTCTGGTGTGAGATACCAAAAGGGTAAAGAAGATCCAAAATGTATAATGGATACAGGGAAACAGGAAGAAAATGTGCAAACAGCAAAGGAAACAAGGGAATGGGAGGGGAAAGGCAGGAAGGGGAAAGAAGAGAAGAGAATACAGGGGGAAATGGAAACAATGCTTTTGTAAATAAGGAGAGGAAGAGAGGCTGGAGGGAGGGGAGAGGACCGGGGAGCAAATGATAATCAAATTCCCTATCATGAATGTGATCACTGTGTAGGTCTAAAGTGTACCAATGAAATTCATTTTTTTAAAAAATAAAACCTCTGAACTAAAGGATTTTGTCCTGTTTTTATCTTTGCAAACAGAAAGAGCTTAAATCTGTGATGGTTTCAGTAGCCCAAAAACTGCCACCTGATTGGTTTAATTTCCGTTTCTTTGTTTACTCATGTTTGCCCATTTATTTCCTACCGTGGAAAGCATTTGGTGCTGTTCTCTGCTGGACATTTCTGGAGGACTCGTGCCTGGAAGTACTAGGGATGCAATAAGCACCAAGCACTCGCCCTGGCCACCGAGTGCCAGCAGCAAATCAGCCTCTCCTGGCTCCACACCCAGGTGCTACTGCATGTGACCAACAATTTACAATACTAAAAATAGCCTGTGTCTTTTTAAAATTTTTTATTTTAAAAAGCAAAACAGAAAAATAGAAATGGTACAGAATTTTTAAAAATAGGAAATTAATACTAGTTAATATGTTGCAAATTGTTATCTTAGAAGTAGTTGTTCAGGTCACAAGATTTAATAGTCTGTGTCTTATAGTACAAAGTGCCATGACTTACACTGCTCATCATTTGTTTGCACAATAATTTCCGGAGCAAGGGTTGAGGACTGGGCTTTCTAAGGGTTAAGCTGCTGACCATAATTCTATGAAGACAAGATAACAGCACAGCTGAGCCAGCCAAGGACATGGGCTCTCCCTCGCCATCCCAGAGCAATAAACTGCCAACCTTGAAGATCAAACAGATTTCTTGATTGGCCAGATTTACTGCTGAAAAAATCTTTGTTCTAACTTCTCAAGGTCTTGTTTGGTTTCCTGCCTTTTCTTGGCTGTTCCTTCCTTTCCTTTTTGTTCCCTGAATTTGTTTGAAACCCAACAAATACTGGCTGTCCAGAGAGGTCTTTGTCTTAGCTCCAAGAGAGTTCTGACCTTCCTGGACCCAAATTTCATTTTACTTTTCTCTTTTATTAAAGCCTTCACTGTACATTTGTTTTAGGAGATTGCAGGCCTGTTCAAACTCCAGGGATTAGAGACTCTGTTGATAGTTATCTCAGATTTTAAACTCAACATATAATCATCCTTGATTGTTTTATGTTGAACATAGTTTTATGTTTTAAATTATCTTGTTAAATAACCGTGCTTATTCAATTATCTAAAGAGAGTTTGTACAGCTGTACTTTATAGTTCCCAAGGCCTGTGGGCAAACATGATGTTCGGTTTTTGTGAATAACTTATGGAGATTACGCCCCTGCCTGTGAGCCAACCAAAGCATGGACCAGAGAAAACCAGAAAGACAGCTAAGCCCCTGCCTGTGAGCCAGCAGCATTCAGAATAGGGAGAACCAGGATGCAAGCAATGCCCCGGCCCATGAGCCAGTCTGAGCACGGGCCAGGAAGAACCAGGAAGGAACCCAAACCTCCACCTTCAGCCAGCCTAAAGCCCGTAATCTGAGCTACTATTTAGAGAACAACAATATGCAGTACAGTAACTACTGTAGATTTTCTACTGTCATCATTGCTTCATTTCATCTTAGCGTTTTTAAAATAAAAATACATACATAAAAAATAATTTATGTGGTAGGTAAAACAACCTACCCCCGCAGAACAAGGTAATAAGGTGTCACCCATGTGTACCCTCTTTCACCTGGGCAGTGGTGCCTCCCTGAGGCCTCTTGTGGATGCCATCACCTGCCCACCAGGTGGCTCAGCAAAGAAGCCTTCCTTTCTGCTTCTAGGACTGATTTCAGAGAGTCCTCATGACCCCAGGATCCACTCTGGAACCAAAAGACTGGTGACTTCACCACCCCCTTCCTTCCCACTTTGGCAGTATCTGAAGCTTTCTACTTTGCTCTTGTGCATAGTTTGCCTAGCTGGCTTTCTTATACCATGGGTATAAGGTCCTTCAGGGTAAAGAGTCTTTTTTTTTTTTAATATCTGAGCATTGCATAATGTGAATTACTAATATTTGCTCAAGTAATTTTATGTGATCAATTCTGTATTAAAGTTCTTAAATGTGAACTGGGCCATTTTACATTTTAAATGTACACAGAAATTCTAAAAATAAAAGCATTATTCTGTCTGTATCCAGAACTAAAATAACAAGGCACAGCATCCGACTGGCAAGCATGAGGTCCAGAGTTCAATTCCTGGTACAAACAAAACCAATACAAGCATTTCTAGCAGTTTTACTTTGGTCAAGATGGGGAGGAGAGCAGCCAAGTCTCCCTAGTGGATAATTTTACGGGTGCCTTTTTGTTCCAGTCTTTAATAACATGACTTTTACTAGCAGTAAGCACTTGAAAATACACATTTTTCTTCATACTTTACTCATCCAACTAAACCTATGTGTGTAATGGATCTGTCTGTTTTTGTGCTTGGTTTGTAAGAATTTCAGTTGCATATTTTAGAACTCACAGAGTGCTATGAATTAGTTGGAAAGAGCAAATTTGTGAGCTGAAAGATGTATCTTCTTAACAAAAACCCACGCCTTCTGACCTGTCCAGCAAGAAAATGCCTAAGAGGTTCTGTGGTAAAGTGCAGGTCACCAGAATAGCTCAGAGGAGCCACACAGCTCATAGACCGATGACTGTTCCAGTGGAAGGGAAGTGTGTGCCCATCCAGCTTCCGCCAACGTGGGGAGACCTGTGACACGGACCAGCTGCGCCCCTTCTTGGGATGAGCGTCTCCTTCTGCTCCCACATACACTTGCCCTCTGCCTTTAGTCCCTCAGGACGGGCCGGCAGGGGAGCTGCGCCCCCAGCTCCAGCTCCTCCCTCAGTGCCCCACACCCCAAAAGTTTTGGCCTCATTCAAGTAGTTGAATAGCTGATTAAGAGCAAGAGGCCCCCTATATCTCCCCGTTTGAAGCCAACACTAGGTAATTTTGTTACAAATTATCATAAAACCAAGGCAAATTCCGAGCGCTTCACAATAGCCACTTTCAGTAAAACTGCATCCCGTGTAGCCCGCGGAATAACGCTGCCCTCTAAGACAGCACGTGCTGTGTCCAGCGCTCACGCCACACTGCTAATATGACAAGGACCCAGGAATGTTCTCAAGACTGGTAACAACATCTGTAGTCTAACGGGGCTTTAAAAAGAACTTCCTGCCTCCAAGCTACAGACAGAGCAGACTGAACATCTAGCAAAGGTACGCGGGGAAGCTTTGATTTAACAGTCAACAGAGACTGAGCTCGAGAAACAAGATCGCATTCCAGCTACAATCTAATTCCACAATTACAGAGGAATTTTTAAAAACCAGTGTTGGGTCACAGAATCCAGGCTTGGAAAATACTTTTGAAACCAGTCCTTCAGCAAGAATCCTTAGGCACTGAAGACAGACGGGGCATTCAGCCTGCAGATACCCAAAGAGATACAGGGCGCTTTGTCTGCAGACTCCCTTTTCTGCATGGAGGTTCTGTTAAAAGGTTCTTTCTGACACTGAGTCAGAATCTGCCTTGCTGCAGTTACCAACCACTAGTCGGGAGCTGTGTGGTCGAAGGGGCAGGACAGAAGTGGGTTTGAACTCAGCTTTGCCAGCTTCACTCTATGTGAAGCCCTGCCTCTGAGCATCAGTTTCCTCATGCATAAAGCACTGTTTAATACATGCAGCCTTTGGTGTTACCCCCACAGTTAGAGATGCTACACATTAAACATCTTGAAGGTGGGAAACACCCAGCAGACAGCCACTGGTCTCAGCAGTAGTGGACTTAGCTGTAGCCCTGTGACACAACTAACGTGCCCCAGGGACAAGACTTTACCTTTGCCAGGCTCAGAAACCCTCTGCATGAATGCTCATGTAATTTTGTAGCTCTCCTCCACTGGTTTCCCATGGAAAATATTCCTCAAGCCTGGGAGTGTAGCTTAGTGGTAGAGTTTTCCTGTTAAGCAAGAGGGCCTGAGTTCTGTCCCCAGCACCCAAGAAAGAGAGAAAAAGAAGGAAGGACAGAACCAAGCAATGCCTGGGGAGGATGGAGGAGGAGGATGGAGTCTAAGGCCAGTCTGGACTACACAGTGAGACTCTGTTTCAAAAAAAGAAAAAAGGCTTGATGTAGTGGTGCACACCTGTAATCCCAGCACTCTGAGAGGCTGAGGCTGGAGGATCACAAGTTTGCTCACAGCCTGGACAATTTAGTGACTTAGCAAATACCCAGGGTCTCAAGACTTAAAAATATATATATAAAGGGCTGGGATGTCACTCAGTGAGGAGCTGTGTTTAGTCCTGGTTTTCCAGTACCAAGAAAAGAAAGGAAGGAAGGAAACGCCCCTTCACACATGCCCCAGCCGTGAGTTCCTTCGGATAGGACCGTGTAAAAGAAGGCAGCTGTGAATACAAATTTGGTGAATGGCTGGAACTCATGGACAGCGGCCCACAGGCGCTCGCCGCCTGCCCACCACCCGGCTGGACGGCAGCCACGTACCTGCACATCCTGCTCCAGCTTGATCTTGATGGTGTTGTACTCTTCGCAGTCGAAGATCCGCTGCTTGTTCAGCTGCTGCTCATAGTCCTCCACCCTCTTCATGCGGTTGATGAGGTACTCCAGCTGCATGGCAGGCAAACCGGGGGGACGTTAGGGGTCCTCCCCACCCTGCCACAGCCCTTCCAGAAGTTTGAAAAGCATGGCACAGGGCAAGGTTTGGCTGGGGAAGTCTGGTGGCTTTCAGCGGCCCCAAGGCTCTGATCTCTTGGGTCCTGGCCTGAATTGCCTGTGGGGCCCTCAATCCAGACACTCCGTGAGGAGTCCTCCATCAGGAATCTGACACAGAGATCGGGGTCATTTATGTTTCCAAAAAATACCTCTGGGTCTTGGTCAAGACCCTTTTTTATTCCTTACCTTTGTGAAATAAAGTGAGGATTCCATACCCTTTAAAATGGGCCATGAATATGCATGGCTGGGGTAAACACCCAAGGGGAAAGTGGCAGGGCCACGGAAACCACAGCAAGCTGCAAAGGTGGTTGGTGCTCATCCCCCAAAGGGGCACCCCCATCTGCCAGGCCACACGGATTAACTATGAAGCCCAGTAATGGATGCCCATCCAGCATCCCGGGCCAGAATAGGAACGGCCACCCAGTCACAGAGAGAGTCACCCTCAAGCCCCCCCCCCGCCACCCCTTTACCTCCTTGGTGCTGTGAGCCTGCAGCGCCCACTCCCATTTCTTCTTATTACTGATCAGCAGCTCCTGTCGCTCCAGCTCGAAGGCTTTCTAAGACCGGGAGGGGAGAAGGCCATGTGTCCACTCCCGTGAGCAGGTCCCGTCAGGATTAAAGACATTCTAGACAGCCACGCTAGTGCCACATCATCCGTTCTAAAGACTAAGTCACATCCAGCCACATGTGGCCAAATTTCACACAGCTGGAGGGCTACGGGAACTGCATGGAGTTAAGTGTCATGAAGTCTGTACTTGACATGAATTTAGAGGCAAAATGCGCCCACAGAGGCAAGGACCCGGAGGAAGCTCAAGGCATTGGTTCAAGTTCAAGGTGTGGGTTTCCGAGTCTTGTCTGGCATTCCCTTCCCCATGCTCCTATCCCAATCTTCATAAATAGACAAACACGGCTCAGGTACGCCTGGGGTTACGGAGTCCTAACTCTCCATTCCCCTCCCGTTCCTGCCTTATTTTTCTCTCAAAACACTCTTACCACCTATCAAATTATACAGCTACTAATGTATTTGCTTATTTCCAGTTATCTCCTGAAAGGTTCCAGGCTCCCCTGGGGACTCAGAGCTGCACCCTGAGCACCTGGAACAGTGCCTGGCATATAGCAGACACCCGATGATTACTTGATTGAGTGGATGAGGGCGCACATAAATTAACAACACCGCAGAGCTGAGGCAGAAATCAGAAGCTGAAGATGTGTGGATCCCTGCCTCAGTCACCAACCCAGCCCGCCCAGGGGGCTCCCAGGGCAGAAAGAAGTCTTTTCACACGCCTTGCCTCGATGTGAACGAGCTCCTGGCGGAAGGCTTTCATCGTGCTCTTCACCTGCTCCTCCATCCTCTCCAGGAGCAGGGAGATGTCGTCGGACTGTTTCTTCAGGTCCTTCACGTACTGGTCGTCCTTGACTTTTAACTCCTTGAGGATAATAAGCAGACCAAGACGACATGAAAGGAGTCAGATACACAAGCTTAAACGCTAAATGGTTTCTCTCGAATGAGGAACCCAACGTGTAAATAAAGATCAAAACAAAAGACAGATGCTAGAAACCAGGGAGACGCATCTTTTGCAAATGAGAAGGGGAGCAGGAGGGAGGGAGGAGCGGCAGAAGGGAGGGGAACAGAAAGAACAAAGATGTGCCGCCAGCTCCTTATGAGAATGTAACAAGATGTACTGCAAACATACACCAATAAAATTAAATGAAAGAGAATAGCATGTGACAGGAACAACAGGTACCAAGCATACGCCCCCGGCCCGCTCCATCAGAAACTGCACTAAGAAGAAATCGCACAGAGCAGAGAATGGCTCCAGAAGAGCCTGATGGGTGGAGACGGTCACAGGTGATGAACTGGAGCAGCGTCAGGTCAGGGTGACAGGAAATGAGTACAGGACACAAAATCAGACCCCTTGAGTGCCACCCACTACAAAGCTCCCTGCAAGCCACAGGAAGCCTAGAAGGTTCCAGCTAAGCAGTTAGGGCCCACATCTAACAGTAGACCACATCTGTTGCAGACCGAGTTCCATTTCTTTTTTTTTGTCTTTTTGAGACAAGGTCTCTCTATACAGTTCAAGCTGGCTTGAGCTCACTTTGTAGCCGAGGCTGGTCTCAAACTTGCAACAATCCTTCTGCCTCAGCCTCCCAAGTGCTGGGATTACAGGCGTGAGCCACCACACCTGGCTCTGAGTTCCACTCCTTAAGCAATCACTTAAAATCCAAAACAGCATTTGCTACAAAAAGTATTTCTATTAGATAAGCTAATGATCCTAAATTACTATGAAGTTGTGTTCTATCAGTTAAAAATTTACTGCTGGGCATGGTGGTGCCAGCCTATAATTTCAGTTACTTGGGAAGCTAAGGCAGGAGGATCACAAATTCAAGGCCAGCCTGGGCAGCTTTATGAGACCCTGTCTCAAAATAAAATTTTAGAAAAGGTCAGGGATGTAACTCAGTCATACAGCATCTGCTTAGCATATATGAGGTCCTGCAGCTGATCCCCAGCACCACACACACACACACACACACACACACACACACACACACACAAGTACAGTATAGAGAAGTGGGAACCTTTGTATACTGTTGGTGGGAATATCAGCTGCAACAATTATGGAAAAAAGTATAGAGATTCCCTTAAAAGCTGAAAATAGAACTACTATAAGATCCAGTAATTTCACTTCACTTTTTAGTATATAGTCAAAGGAATTCAAACAGTCTCAAAGAGCTATGTATATTCACATGCTCATAGCAATATTATTCATAATAGCCAGGAGGCAAAAGCACTCTAGATGTCTACAGAAGAATAAGATAAACGGTAAAACATATATACATGAATATATATATATGGCACATTATGCAGCTTGAAAAAGGAAAAATTCTGTTGAATGCTACAACGTGGATAAGCCCTTAGGACATTATGCTAAGCAAAGGAAGCCAGTCACAAAAGGACAAATGCTATGTGATTCCACCCACTTGAAGCTATTATCTAAGTAGCTAAAACCATAAAAGCAGAAAACCGAAAGGTCAGTTAACAAGCGTCGCAGCGAGAGAGGCAGGGAGTTAGTACATAACAGTGCTTTAGTGCTGCCAGATGCAAATGCCCTAGAGACCTACTGAGAATGCGGCGACGCTGCTGAACCAGACATTTAAACATGTGAAGGTGACCAATGTAACAGGGCATGGTTTTTACCATTGAAAAGCAATTAAAGAAAGCTCATCACTCAAGTCCTGCAGCATTCTAATTAATGGAGTACGTACAGCCTTTACGTTTCTGCTCAGGAGAAGCAGGCCAGTGGCCCAGCTCAGCCCTCCAGGGGACCCGCAGTGCTGGAGCAGCGCGCCGGCTGCTCACCTGCTGCAGCTCGCTGATGAGCTTGTTCTTGTCTTCTATGAGCCCCGCACAGTGCAGCTGCTGAGCGCTGAGCATGTCCCACAGCTCCTGGGGGATCTGCCTCTGCCTGCCCTCCTTCCACTTGGAAGTGATTTCGTCGAATTTGTCCTGGCTGGTCTTAACCTCATTCTCCAGCTTCTCGACTCTGTGAACACAAGACACGCCAGCATCTCCACAGGCTGCCTGCAAGAGTGGGGGTGGCTTCTTCACAGCCTCCCGGGCATCGCAGTGTCACAGTCAGACCCCAGACACCGGGTTCTGCCTCCCGCACCCCCACCCCAGTAAATGACCAGCAAAACTATAGCAAGGAGAGGAATCCCACCATGAGAACGGACCAGAAGGATCTCCTTTCCAGAAACCCCAGAGAAACAGCTAAGGGCCTGAAGGTCACACTAAGCCTTGGAAGGCCAGGGTGAGATGTGAAGGGAGCCCCCTGCAGACTGGAACCCATGCCAGCGACTCTGACCGCGCTTAGCACCCCGTCATTCTGTGCAGTATCTCCACTCAAGGAGCACAAAGCCCTCCAGAGCAGAGTCCCAGCTGAAGCGTCCCGGGAGCCTCTCCCCTCTTTCCCCTTCCCACCCTGCACCCCACCTTCCAAGCCAGGCCACACTCTGCACATTCTAATTTGTTGGAAGGTTGATCTCAGGAATATCTGGACCTGCTGGGTCTCAGGAATCGCATCTGCCAGGTCATCTCTTGGAAAAACATTCAGCTGGAACTCTGCCCCTTTGGAAGCTTCCGTTTTCCCTCAGTGGCCATGGGATGATGCCTCACTCCCTGGCATGACACTTGGGACGTGTCTCAAGCTGACCCTGAAGGTCATCAGCCAGTTCAGCTGCTGACACGGCCCACTCAGGCGAAGGAAGTTTCAAAACTAAAGTCGCCAGCACTACCCTGCTAGTAGAACCTGTAAAGTGGCTACGGGGGAAGAAATGACCCATGCTGAACAATTGAAACTGCTCAGCTAAGTGGTCAGGTGGTTAACCATTTCTAACTGAACTATGTTTAGGAAATGAAGAAGATTCCAGAGTGGATTAAACGAGGACCTCTGTACCTGCCATGAGTCCACATCTGTATGCAGACCGAAGATTGTATGTGTGTTTGGTGTGTGTGTGTGTGTGTGTGTGTGTGTGTGTGTGTGTGTGTGTGTGTGAGATACTGAAGACTGAACCCCGGAACTTATGTACATGCGAGACAGGTGCTCTACCACTGAGTTACAGCCCGAATCCTTTTCTACTTCTATTTTATTGTGAGGTAAGGTCTCACTAAATTGCCCATGCTGTGCTTGGATTCGCAATCCTCCCGCCCCAGCCCCCAGGACAGTAGCTGGGATTACAAGTGTGTACCACCACATCCAGCTCAAAGATGCTTATTCTAAGTAGCTTACATCCCTCTGCTGGGCAAACGAGACTGGGGAAGATAGGTGTGGAAGGCAGCCTGCCTCCCGAGGACTGGCTGAGGATTTGATGTGGGCTCTTTGTCTCTCTATCCCAGGCATGGAGTCTTTAATGTGATTCAATATGCTGCTGCTACATTGGTCCGTAACACTCAGGCATCTGTGAGTCTGGTCATTCAGGTCAGTTAAACTCAGGACTGCTCTGCTGACCTTCTCAGCCTCATCGGTACTCTTCTACCCAACCCCATGCACCCCTAATTATCTTGCATCTCCAAGCACCTCAGGTGGTCTCATCCTTCGTTCACGGTCTTCTGCCTAAAATGTCCTCCTCAAACCCCGCTCATTCCTTACAGCCCAGCTCAGTGTTGCCTTGCCTGGGAAGTCTTCTCTAATCTCGGCAGAAAGGCCCAGAGATCTCCTCCTGTATACTTGCATAACTCCTTACACACACTTGTATTTTAAAACCAGCTACGGTCACAGGTCCCCTGTTGATCACAAGCAGCGCCCACGTGAAGTGAGTTTTGTAACCATCCAGCTTGGCACCTATCAGCCATGCTCCAGAAAAGGAGTCAGCAAGGAAGGAGAGAGGAAAGAAGGGAAGGAGGGAGGGTTTATAAGGAGCAGGAGGGGTATTCTAGACTCAGCTGCACACTGTCACTTTCCAACGATGGAAGCAAATTTAGCGGCCTGCAGGGGATTCCTGTCACACCCACCAGGCTGCAAAGAGGTGGGTCCCTTACCTCAGGCGCTTTATCTCCTCCTCTTCCACCCTCCTGTGGGTCTCCCTGACATCTATCGCCACTCGAATATTTGACACCAACTCAGTGCCATAGAACAGCAGTTTAGCCAATTTCTGAAAACAAAAAGATGAAAATTTATAAAGTTAAAATGCATTGTAATAAATTTAGAGAGCTAGAAATGTGTGTGTGTGTGTGTGTGTTGTGTGTGTGTGTGTGTGTGTGTGTGTGTGTGTGTGTGATGCTGATGATGAAACCCAGGCCCTTACCCAAGCTAACCAAATGTTCTACCCCCACCCAGTTAGGAACATTTACACATTTCATTTGCAACTCTTCTATCGACTGAGGAAGGAATCAATAGCCACCTTGAAACTCTGAAGAGCAGCATCTTTTTTAGCAACCTTTTCCATCAAGAGATTGGAGATATGACAGTTACAGCTACACTTTGCCAGCATCCCTTTGGAGTAGGGACCAGCCAGCCAGTACACTGCCATATACTATAAACACAGTCCAGTCCTCCCCCAGAGGATTCCCCAAGCAGTTGACACTGTCCAGGTCCTTCTTACGAATCTCGGTTGGAGCAGCAAGGCAGTAACAGCAGGTGCTCTCTAATGTGCCCTTTCTCCTCCTCTGTGAATAACAGAGTATGCAAATTGAAGCTCAGAATGTAACCTCCCCGCCTCTCTTGCAGCTAGACGATGGTCTGCCCAATGGGCATGTGAGCGGAAGTGATGTGCACCACATCTGAATTGCGCATTTAAAGGGCACAGGCAAACCCTCCCCTGCTCCTTCCATGCCTCCCTTTCCTCTAGGCTGGAACATGGGCTGATGTATGCCACCACGAGCTGATGGAAGCAGCCTGAGAAGGGCAGGGGCTGAGGCGACAAGGAGACCTATCAGCCTGGCATTACTCATGCCAGAGACTACTGAGTAAAGCAGGGAAGTAAGCAAAAATCTCACTGCAGCTAATGTGGGGTGGGTCTTTGCCATAGCAGAGAACTCACTACTCTGTAATTCTATAGGCACAGGGCTTTTTCTGCCATTGGTGCCCACTTCTAAAGCCCTCTTGCCACGATCACTATCTTCAACTCTGGGCTTTTTGTAATATTATGATTTCAGGGTGATAAGTCCTTCCAACCAAAAATTCAGGCATCCTTTGGTTATGCATAAGTTTTTCCATGTGTGTTTTAGAATTTACAAACTCTCTAATTCTCAGATTATCTCCAATCCAAGGACATGCTGGAGACGTAGCTCTGTAGCAGAGCTCTTGTTTGGAATGTATGGAGCCCTGAATTCAGTCCCCAGCCCTGAAAACAAAATGAGCTAAGAACCAACTTATGAACCAACTTCTGCTCCAAGAAGTCACCAAAATGCTCAAAGATTCCATTCATTCCCCTATTCTGTGGAAAATTGGAAATATAGTGTCAGTGGATACACAACAAGCCTTAACCCAAGTACCCCAGGTAGCCAGATCTTTTTAATGCCTGCAGCTTTATCTATTGTATAAAATGGTTTTGTACACATACGAAACCTGTCTTACTTATTTTTCTCTCGTTGCTCAGATTAAATACCCAACATCCAAAGTTAAGAAGGGAAAGATTTATTTAGCTCACAGTTTGTAGAGGTTTCAATTCATAATCAACTGACTCTAAGGCAGAGTGGCATGTAGCAGAGGGTCAACTGTGTTCATAGCAGCAGAAGACAGTAAAAGCAATGAGAGAGAGAGAGAGAGAGACTTCTTCTGTCCTTTATACCGTATATAAACCACCCACCCTAAGGCAGGCATAGCTCACATCCTTAATCCCAGCTTTAGATCATGAATTAATCACAAACTCTAGATTCAGTCACCTCTGAAAAACCAGACCTCAATGACCACATGAGGCTTTGGGGGGATATCCAGACACAAACCTTAACATTCTCTCTTGCCTTTTCTGTGGTTTGGGGAAATTTTCAAGTTTTTAATCAATGTAAAATTCCTGAGTCAAGTATTTCAGACTCAAAGTAATATTAAAAATCAAAACATTAACAGAGCAACAGACTCATAACACTTACAAGAACCAAGGAAACAGTTTAAGTGGAGGCTCACATAGCATTCATACACTCACACCCTGCAGGGAAGGGAAAGCCAGTCTGGCCTCCGCCCACTCCCACCTCTGCCCAGCAGACATGTGGGTTTTCAGATCTGGCTGTCCCGGTTCTGTCCACACCGCTTGGACATCCATCAAACCCAGGGGCTGTAAAACAGTGATCTTGCCTGCCCTGAGTAGAGCAGACTTTAAAAAGAAGCCATCAGAAACCTTGAAGTTTGGCTCAGAACCACTTCTATGCAGTGGGCTGAAGGACCTGTCTTCTTCACTAACACATGAAAAAGAAAGAAACAGCATAAAACTTGAAAAGGCAGAAATGAAAGAGTCATTCTTTTCAGATGATCTGATTATTTGTGTTAAAAAAAAAAATCCCAAAGCACCTACAGGTCACTATCAGAAGTAACAAGGGAATTTGGTAAGGTCACTGGATATCATATTAGCACATAAACACCAAATACACTTTCATATGAGCTCAGGAGTGATTACAGCCCCGCTGTGGTTTGCAGTCTGGAATGGCCCTGCAAGCTTGTGTGTTAAAGACTTGGTCCCCAGCCCGGAAATGTCGAGAGGCTGAGCTCTGGGGAAGTGATTGGGGGGTGGGGGCTGGCCTGCATCAGGGGATTAACCCACTGCGGGCTCACGGTGTGTGGCCTTATTGGGAGGTGGTAGACGCTTTAAGAGGTGGAATCTTGGAGGAAGCAGCTTACTAGAAGGTTCTATCTTGCCCCCAGTTATCTCTTTCAGTCTCTTTCCCCCTTCATCATGGCCCCAGAAGCAACAAAGCCCACTGACCATGGATTGAAGCCAACATTGTTTATCCCTGGGTATGTTTTCACAGGGACAGAAAGCTAACACAATCTCAAGAAAGACTGTTAAAAATTACTGAGTAAAATTAAAGAATACCGGTATAAGTGAGAGGGTGCTTTACATTTATGGATTATAAATTCAGTTCAATATCAAAATCGCAGCAACGTTTTTTGTTTTTTTTGTTTGTTTGTTTGGTTTTTTTTTTGTTTGTTTGGGTTTTTTTTGTAAAAACAAGCTGATTCTAAAACTTACTTTAAAATGCAAAGGGTCAACAATCGCTAAGAATCGGGAGGAAGAACATGGTAGAACTTAACCCTACCAGATGGTGAGGTCTGTTTTAAAAACAGTAATGAAACCAGTGTGGAAATGGCATAAAGACAATAAAAGTTATATTAGTTGATACACTGTGTCAACTTGAGAAGTTTAGAAGTTAAGTAAGTGACTCAGCAGGGGGCCAGCGTCTCGCTTTGTAAACATCCTCATCCTGTGCAAGAGGGCTGAGTATTATACTCGCCTTAGTTGGGGGTTCCCTGCTTGCACTATAACAAAAGAAAAGAGGTTGCTCTCCCACTTTTTGCTCTTGTGGCTTTTGCTGTCTTCTGCCCCCTTGAAGTGTTGTCCCTGTGTCCTGTGCCCTGTGCCGTGCCACTCTGCCTTGGAGCCAGCCAATTATGGACTGAAACTTCTACAAACTGTGAGCTAAATAAACCTTTCCTTCCTTAATTTTGGGTGTCAGGTATTTTGTTCCATGAAAGAAAAGCAACCAGGATACCAATGTAACAGAAGTGAGAATTTTGGAGAAGAAATGTATAGGGATCACTTGATTCATTCCAAAAATGCATGCCATGCCATAGAAAAGGGTATTTTTTTTCCAACATATGGTGCTGGGCCAATTTAAAATGTGTACAGAGAACATTTAGCTTTGGGCCCTATCATCAATCACACACAGAAAATTGATTCAAGACAGACTTCAGACTAAAATATAAGTGGTAGAATAATAGAAGTTCTAGAAGAAAATCTTCACACACTCGGAGCACACAAAGATTAAACAAGAAAGAATGGCAGATGTATGATTTTTGTGTGTTTTTATGTTTTTTATTTTAGTTACTTTCCTGTGGCTGGAACAAAATACCCAACACCCACAATTTAAAGGCAGAAAGCGTTTACTTGGGCTCACAGTTTAAGAGGCTACAGTCCATAGTTAGCTGGCCCCAAGGCAGAAAGGGCATAGTGGGAGGACCTGGGTAAAGGACAGTTGCTCCTCCTACGGAAGCCAGGAGGAAAGAGAGAGGAGGACCCTGCAAGGAGGGCACAGCCCTCCAAGTCAGCCCCCAGGGATCCCACCTTTCTGACAAGCCCACCCTCACCAACACGAAATGATATTTTAGACTATTAAGTAATGATTGATAAAGTGCAGGACCAAGGACAGGTCTGAGGGTAAAACTGCTCGTCAATACCCTGGTCTTGAGGATGGCAACATTTTTTGTGTGTATTTCTTGGTGATGTCAACACTCTATTACTTAAATCTTAAGTGAAAAGAACCTTAAAGAAGATGAAAAGAGTCTCACCACTGAACATTGGCATTTTCAAGACTCTAAGAATCCTGTAGCCTATATACAAATGCTGGGAGATCACAGGCTTTTAAAACAAGAAAGTTAAGTACAAAGAAGTGACACGGAATATTCACTCTACAGTAGATGAGATATGGAACAAGAAAGCCCAGTATCCCAATATTCTGTCCTCTACAGTAAAATAGCTTTTCCTGGATGCATTACATCTCCATGATTTATAACATTTCAGTAACCTGAATCTTTTTTCTTCCAGAGAGCACATTCATTTTCACCAGAAATTATCTTGATTTCTCCTGCACGACGCTTTTTAAAATCCCATCTATTTGGCTAAACCTCAGTTCAAATTTCACCTCTGCTTTCCACGTATAACCTCCCTGACTAGACCCACTGAAAAGCATGATTTGGTACCTCTAGTCACACAGGACCACTGTCTACAGATTTCATTTAGCAATTAATTAAATACATGTACACCATCCTGCCAGTGCGGGTTTGCTGTTTTGAATTGTTTTCTCCTCTCAAACGGTATGTCTTTGACCTTTTATCAAATACCTCAGGAGCCCTGTCCTTGACACAAGAGAGAAATTTATTTATTTACTTACTTACTTATTTATTTTTGGAGCTGGGATTTTGCATCTTTCCCTGGCTGGTCTTGAACTCATGGGCTCAAGTGATCCTCCTGAGTAGTCATGACTAACGGGGCCTAACACCACACTTAGCAATGTTTGTTTGTTTGTTTGTTTGTTGGTACCAGAGATTGAAGTCATGACCTCACATTTGCCAGGCAGGCGTTTATGCTACTGAGTTAAATCCCAGCCCCAGTTTTGTTTTGTTTTGTTTTATTTTGTTTTGCTTTGCTTTTCCAGTACTAGGGATTGAAGCCAGAGCTCACACTGGGCTACCCCCTCAGCTTTTTTATTTTTTGTTTGGAGACTGGGTCTAGCTGAGTCACCCAGGCTGGCCCTGAACTTGTGAACCTCCTGCCTCAGCTTCCTGAGTAACCAGGGTTACAGGTGTGTGCCGCTGCACCCAGCATAAATTGCTTGTTTTGTGTTTCTGGTGGTGCTAAGGATTGAACCAGGCCTGCTGCACGTTACTGCCTCTTGATTTCCCTTTCAGGATTGCCAGTGTGAGCTCTGCCCTCGCAGGACTTCTCAATTACCCGCGGACACAGCACTCGAACACCTCTGGGAAGCCGCACGCACAAGGCTGACAGGAGCTGAGAGGAGCGACCCCGAAGGGCTGCAGGCAGGTGTTGCATCAGGCAGGGATCTTTGGGGGGAAGGGGTCCCTCAGAACCACCCTCTTCCTTTCCCCAACCCCTCACCCTCCTGCTCTGAAGAATGAGGAAGTGGGGCGCAAAGCCAAGGCCCCCTGGGAACATGAGAAGTGGGGACAGAAGCGGTTCCCAGTGAAAGTTTACTTATGGTGCAGGAATGCAGGAAAAAGCTGTCTCAACAGCAGAGTGGGCTGCAAGGGAGGGGACCCAGGTTGCCTGGTGAGTCTGGGCGGTGGTGGGTAATCTGACTTACAGGGGAAAACTGGTTGCTAATGGAGGTCTTAGCTTTTGTTTCTGGGTCAGCGGGCCAGGGCTCCTCACGCGCAGGGTAAATGCATGTAACAGTTTCACAAGGAGACACTTCCTCAAGCCCCCAGTGCACAATAAGCCCGGTGATTTTATAACTGTCAGCCGCCCAGTCTTGCCCTGTGCTCCCCGCCTGTGCCGCTCTAACCTGTCCCTACACTGGCCTGAGCAGGAATCCACAAAGAGCTGGATGACACAGTCCTATAGTCTGGGAATGCAGTCTGAGGGAGGAGAGGAGGAGATCTGGAGAGGATCAGAGGCTCAGAGCCCCAGGATGGGGGTGGGGTGCACGCACCCCTCTAGACTACATGGAATCCGGCCCCCGTGGGAAATGAGCCTGCAGGGTTAAGATGGGAACACACTGGCCAAGGCCAGGAGACCAGGCGGAGACGCTGGACTCCGTCCTGTGAGTGTGAGTGACCATGAGAGCGCAGGAGCAGAGGAAGAGGCACCGTGGACGTTCATGATCTGCAAGCTGCAACCTGCAGGACTCCGGCTGGGGACAGCTGCGCCCAGCTCTGCCTGCAGGGAGAGGCCAGGACGCCTGAGCGAGTCCCTCACCCCATCTCTGCTCTCCCCTCCGCTGGGACCCTCAGCCACGTGTTCCTACCAGTCTGCTCTCTTCTCTCTGTTTGTAGCTCTTGCTGTGATCCTCTTCACTCTCCTTCTTTCCATCTAAATATTCTCCAAGAGCTTCCCTGCGACAGAAGAAAACAGAACCCAAAGTTACTTCTAACATGGAGAACCTGCAGGGAAAGGTTCCAAGGAATTCTACCCGCATATAGAGAAATTCACCCACCTGGACAAAAATTTAAATGCTAAGAAAACACAATTACAGAAATACTAGACGTGAGTAGAGGAGAGCGTTTGTACCCTCAAACAGCAGCCGGCTCATCTTTGAATGCACCAAAAACGGGGGAGAGGGTGGATGGGCAGTGGAAAGCTTTACTTTCTAAAATTTAAAAATGTTATACTTAAAAGTCAAGGCATAAACTGGTAAACAAAAAAAAAAAATTGACATTTTACCTTCTCTAAAATAGACCCTCAGTACACAAAAAAGAAAAATGACACCTTCCAATAATACCAACTTGCCCCCAAATTAATAGAATTTGTAAATTAATAGAAGGTTTAAACGTACAGTTTACAGAAGAAATGCAAATGGGAAATGGGGGGGGGGGTGAACATTCCAGACTGTAGTCAGCTCACACAACCAGGGCCACCCGAGTAACACAGTATGTCCAATAGTGTACACATTCTCTTTTTAAAACGGATTCATATCCACATAGGATATTTTCCCAAAGATCTGTGACAAACAGATAACAGGACAAGGACTTCAACCACTGAGGACTTCTATTTTCTACACTTTACCATGGCCTCAGTTTTACAAATCGTGTGTGCGTGGATCTGTTCATCAGCAAAGGAGATGACAGAGCCAAGGGAAACATAAGGTTCCCGAGTACGGGCTTTGGAGGTGGTGAGGGGCTCGGCTCTGCTGGGGCGCGGGGTGCTCCCCGGGGCTCCTTGTGCTGCTGTGGGAGGAATGAAACTGTCACTCATGGCTCCAGCGTTCACGGTAAATAAGCGGGTCCCTTTATCTCATCCTTTCCTGACCTTTTCTAACAGACTACAGCACTACCCATTTTGTTCAAAGTCCAGTACAGCTCACATAACGTCACAGCATTTGGGGTCACGCAGTTACCACCGTCTCCACTCCCAGTCCAACAAAAACCCCTTTTTCCTGTGTCATTTCGTTCCCTTCTCTGATCGTGTTAACCTGCCATGGTGTTCTCAGAGAAAACACTGCCCGTTCTGTCCTGCTTGGGCCTTCAGAGCTCACCAGGCTGTGTCCTCATCCTGGCCCAATCTCCCTCCTCCTCTGGACTTCCACTTTGACCCCCAATTAATTAATTACCAACTCTATCTAAATAAGCCACTTCCTGGGGCAAAGCTCAGGCTTTGGAAAGAAAAAGATCCTACAGTCCTGATCTGGCACAAATTTTTTTCCAGTTTTAATGTAAAGCCCACTGCTACCTTTCATTCATCATTTTGGACCATCGAGCACTTTGCTGCCCATGCTGATGACCACCGACTACATGTGACCACTAGGCATATGGGGAAATGCTGGTCCAAACCAAATGCACTTTGAGTTTAAAACAGATGGATTTTAAACCAAAAACAATGCATCATGTCTCAATACCAGATGTGATAAGAATATTTTAGTGAGGCGTGGTGGCAAGCACCTGTAATCCCAGCACCTGGGAGGCTGAGGCAAGAGGATCACCATGAATTTGAGGCCAGCCCGCCCTACATAGTGAGTTCAAGGTCAGCCTGAACTACACAGTGAGGTCCTGTCTCAGAAAAAAAGAAAAAGCACACAGCACTTAAAAAATTTATTACAATAAAAGATACATTGCTAATAATCCCCCTCCAACTCTCCCCCTCAATCCAACATACTCCATTGTTTCTGGCATTTTCTGAAGCAATTCTGCAATTCCTCTCTTTTGAGTATCTTTGAGAGGCGTGATAAAAATTTAGTGAATGGAGACTTCCGGGAGAACATGGCGGACACATAGCAGCAGCTTAGGAGGCTCTCTGAGAAATTGCACTTAAAATCCAGGAATGGTGCTGGGTGAGAAATCCTAAGCAAGGGGAGATATACTTTGCTGACCCAGGAACGAACTAAACTAAGAGAAACCAACTGGAAATGCAATCCCGGTGATATAACAGGAACAGATAAGGTCTCAGCATGGAAGCTGGACCCCGTGCCACTGGAAGCTGCGGTTTGAATTTCCTGCAGCCACTGCTGCGTCCCAATCGGCACGGCAAGGAGAGAGGCGCGAAAGCTCTGAGAGTGGGAAGCCGTGAATGGAGTTGAGAGCGGGACTGGCCAGGAGCCCTGCGTGGACCTGCAGTGAGTGAGAGGAACGGGGACCCTTCCATTAGAGTAGGAGGCTTCAGCAAAGGACATACTGGGACCGGGCAGAATAGCCGGAACAGGTTGTTGCAGTGACTTCAGTCACATATTCCCCTCTCAAGTGGGATTGGTGGGGAGTGCGTGGCCTGCGTGACACCGCTGACTAAGACCCAGTAGGCTAACCCAAACCAGGTCCCAGCGACTGGAGGTGCACCCTAGCAGTGAAGCCTTCGGTAGGTTGACCTGGAGGGGTGGGCCCGGCACAGGCTGCCCAGGTCTGTGTCTCCCTAGTACACTGCAATGGGCAGGAACACCTAGCCAGCGCAATTCAAACAAACTGTAACTGACAAAGAAAGAAACTGGGCCTCCTGTATACGCTTGTATGGAAGGAACAAAAAATATGGGAAGAGGGAGCAATAAGAAAGGATCCTTGGCCCCTATTCCTGAGAAACATGCAATAGCAGACACAGCACCAATAGACATAAAGCGCTATCTCCAGAGCCTCATAGACGAGTTCAGGAATGAAGTTATTAACGACTTTAAGCAATATATAAGTAGAATAGTTAGAGAAATGCTAAACAACGCCCAAGAAAAAACAGATGGTGGAATGGAAGAACAGAAAAAAAAGGGGAGAATTGTTTGATGGAAAAAATAGAGAAAACATAGAATATGTGAAGCAGGTTCAAAGAGATTACCAGGAAACTAAAAACTCTATCGAAAACTGGCATAACAGCTTGAAAGAAACTAAGGATAGATTATCTGAACTGGAGGGCAGATTTGTAATATGGGAGCATGAAATGAAAAACTTCTTAAAAATAACAAAAAAACAAACAGCAACAATACAAAGGCTAGAAAATGATAAGAGGATCTATAACTTAAGAATTAAGAACATAAAAGAAGAAGTAGGGACACAAACAAATGGACTATAAAAGCTATTCACAGAAATAATCCAAGAGAATTTCCCTAATTTAGCAAATGGTAAAGATACTCAGATGTATGAGGCATACATGACCCCAGCCACCTACAACCCAAACAGAGCTACACCCAGGCATACAATAATCAAAATTCCAGAAATCTAATATAAGAACAGAATATTAAAAGCCATCAGAGACAAGAAACAGATCACTTACAAGGGAACACCCATCAGAATTACAGCAGACTTCTTGGCACAAACCATCAAATAACGAAGAGCGTGAGGGAAATAATTCAAGCTTTGAAAGATAATAACCTCCAGCCAAAATCGATATATCCTGCACAACTGTCCCTAGAAATTGATGGAAAAACAAGGTGCTTCCAGGATAAAGAGGAACTAGGGGAATTTGCAACCATCAATTCAACTCTACAGAGAATACTGCAGAATATTCTAAAAAAGGAAAATACCAAGATTCCAAAAATAGTGGCAGAGAGGCCACAATGAATGGAGCAGAAAGCGAAATGAAGAAGACAAACTGACAACAAACGACAGAAAAAGAGCTCAACAGAAATGAGGCAGAGAAGGTTGGATGGTAGGAACAGCTATTTTGGAGAAAACGAGACATCTTAATAGCTAGTGCTGATTTAATATCATCTTGTTTTTGAAGTCCCATCAAACTTGTATTCTTCTGTCTCCATCGGTCTTAAAAGGTTGTATCTTATTGGATTTTAATATATATGATAATATAAGTAAAAACTTTTATAGACAAGGAGATTATACAGAAACCATTGTTCATTTTCTGTTAATTGGTTCTAAATACCCAGTAATAATGTCATTCTCTTGAATGGTTTTATAGCATCTTGATATGTTTGGTGCTACAGTATACGAAGTTATACTCAAATAATTCAAGGAAAGAGACACTATGGTAACTTTTTATGTCAGGATATCTTGTGGTAAAACACTGTTTTGCTTAAATGGTTATGTTTTGACCTGCGCTGTTCTTTTGTTATGCCCTCTTTTATCTCAATCCCCCTTTTTTTAAATTATTTACTTTTTTCTTTTTATCTTTTTAATTAAGGGAAAAATAAATTTAAAAATAGCAGGATACATTATAGTAACCTACTTTGATTTCCTATTAACTTGATTTGAAACCCTGTATTGCTCTCACCATCTTGCTTTGACTTAATTTCCTCTATTCTGCTTTGCTTGATAGTACCAAGTTCAAAAGTATAGGCAACAACTGTGAAGACAATAAGATTCATTATGACACCCATTCCGGCTGACTATTATCTTCTTTTAAAGTCCTGTAATGTCTCCAATGTTTTGGTTTTATTCTTTACTGTTTAGTTCAATTTTATTATAACTGGTAGTTCTTCTTAAAATAGCAAGAGGCAGTATGGTAACCATTGTTGATCACCTTGTATTTTGTTTTTACATTGTCTATTATGTCCATCCTTTTGATTTGACTGACTCTGTTCTGATATGTCGCATTCGATTTTACTCTCTTCAAAAAAAGTAGTAAGAACTGTGGGAGTATAAAACCCAAAATGTATAATTGTCATCGTACAAAAGAAAAGAAAAGAAAGTGCTCTAAAGGTTATAACTGCATATATGTTTAAGTGTATAAGATAGATAACTATATTACTGAGGTTTTTTTGGATCATTGAACAAAACTGTTTGCAGTCTCACTGTTTAAAAGTCCACTTTATGTACTTCAATTTTGTAACTTGAACAACTATTTCTAAGATGAGAATATGTAATCTATTAACTAGTGATGTCTTACTGTTTATTTTTTAAATTTTGTATTACTTGTACCCTTTTTCTGTTTTTTCTTTTTCTCCTTAAATTAAAAAAAAAATTTATTGAATGTG